ATCCAGATGGGGATCTAAGTAGAGGTGACCATGGTCACTGTAGTGATGCTCCATCTTGCTGATTAGGGACCTTCCAAGTCCAAGTGAAGGTCCATTTTCTGTGACTCATTATTGTCCAGTGAGGTGTGAAGTATCTGTCTTACCTCTCAACCCTGCAGCTTCTCTTAGAGATAAAGTTTCCAGGGGAATAGTGAACCCAAGGGTGGGGAGCAGGAAGCATATGAGTCACTTCTCAGTTGCAAAATTTTGGAACTTCTCAAAGTTCCAAGAAATATAGGAATCAAAAAACAATAATATTGTAATACAGCATTTAAAAAAATCAGAATTAATGCCAAAAATCCATGAGGAACAAACTGTCAAAATATTAATTAAAGACAGTATCCAATCCTGTGCTTGCAAGACCCTGCCTCCCTTGCTTCTCCCCAGCCCTGGTTAGAGTGCAGCCTGACACTGCAGAGGAGACATGTTATGTGTACGGGTGCTCTGCATGGCATGTGTGTTTGCAGGACAGAGTGTGTGACCTGATATATCTGCATGTTAGTGACCTAAGCTTCTACTAGACATAAATCCAGAAAACGCCTTTGTGTTTCGTATTGAAAGTACTTATATCTATTATATTTCTGAGAGTAATAGTAGCAAAGGTGGCTACATTTTGTTGAGTGCTTACTATGTGACAGCCGCTCTGCGAGGCACTGTACATAAAGTAATGGTCTCTTTAATGCTCGCAGTAACCCTATGAAGTAGGCACTGGCATTCACCCTGAGAGGAAAGTGAGTCAGAGAGTCAAGTCGCTTGCTTGAGCTTACCCAGCCAACAGGGGGCAACCCAAGACGAAGCTGTAACTTACCCACTCGGGGTTTGAATCTAGATCAGCATACTTAGAAATGTGCTTTACGCCTCCAGAATGGTTTAGTCGGTTTGGGTGATGGCCTATCAGAATTGCATTGCTAAGAGCTCCATGTGTCCTTTAAGACTTATGCTTGCCATTCCAGAGATACTCATTAGGAATCATTTGCCCCTGCACAGCACAGCTTTCCCCAGTGTCTGTTCTGCTTCCCCCCTTGTTTCCTGGTATTTCTTGGGGAGGAAAGAGAGTGAGGGGAGAGAGGGAAGATGATGACGATGGTGATGGTGGTGGTGGCAATGTTGGCAGTATTTACTGAGGCCTTTATCACATGCCAAGTACTGTGATGCGGGTTTTACGCACGTGACTTCATTTAGTCATCAAAAAGGAGGACAGGCTGGTTAATCCCCATTTATTGGTCAGAAAACTGAGTCTCTGAGAATGTAAGTAACTTGTCCAAGATCACAAACTCAGGCAAGAGACAGGTGAGGTCTGCGCTCTTACTGCCCACTTTGTAGGATGGAAGGAAGAAGAGATAAAGGGCACTGTGTTAGATCAGCCTCCAGCTCGTCTTCGAGCCCTCGGAAGTGGTTGCTGCTCCTGGAGCAGTCCCCAGCTTTCCCAGGCCCCGGTGGTCCTGCAGGCCACAGCTGTGACAGGCGTCCTTTCTGGTTCCGACTGCCAAACCCTTCCAGGATATCCCCAGAGGGCATACTGTACAGCTTTTGAGGGAGTTGGGATTTTATTTCTCCCGTACTTTTTTAGGATAAAATAACCTTACTTAGGAAGTTTCCAATGAATATACCCAAGTTAAGAGCAGGCAGCAAAGGAGCCGCGATTATACGTAAATACTCAGTGCATGTCATCAGCTCACAATTTTTATTCCTAAGGATTTAGAGAACATTTTGCCAAAACTGTAGTGCCCAGGTGTTAGAATATCTCTGGAAAAGGCTTATCTGAACCACAGAGAAAACAAAATGGGAAGAACTAAAAATGTTGTATTAATTTCCTCTTCAGAAGAATCATAACAAATCTGCTGTATTAGCATCAATCTCAACGAAAGCAAACCTGGCGAGTGAGCCCTGGAAATTGCATGAGGAAGCACAGGAGCCGCCCAGAGGCCAGGAGCCGGCTGATCACTGTTTCACAACGGGCTTTCCGGGAGGGAGAATGCCCTGGTCTGCGCCGTTAGCCTATTTCCATGGTGTAAATATTCCCACCATGGCCTATTTCCTGCCTACCAAGGTGCTACCCTGGATGTGAAGCTGGGAAGAGATGCAGGGGACTAGCTCTCCTGAAGAGCACACCATTGTTCTAATCTAGCCTCTCAGGGCGGAGTGATCAGATAAGCCACTATTTCAGTCTGTGCTTAATCCTGGAGAATTGGACTCGCTCACTGTGTGACCTTGGGCCAGTTGCTTCACCTCTCTGGGCCTTTGTTTTCTCCTCTGCAAAGGATAACATGAAAGGTCCCTTTCCCCTCTGCCATTTTAAAGTTCTAGAAGGCAGTGACTCCGGCTTTCTCCAACATCCAAATGCCTCTAAGCGCCTTTGCAGAAAACCAAGTGAGCGCCGTGCTGCGCCAAACGTGCCGCCAACTTCATCTCCTGAGCAGAAGGTTTGGAAGGAGCGACTTCTCCCTTTTGCCTCTTTCAATGTGTAGCCAATGGGGCAGCATCCACTTTTTACACTTCTCTTGCTGGATGTGAGATCCAGGAGGAATGGATGTTCCAGGGCTTGCTTGCTCTCCTGGGGTGGGAATCTGTGCGTGTGATCCACGGAGCCGCTGCGCTCTGCGGGGCCGCCCCGCCACCCTTTCCGCAGCGGGGCGCGTCCTGATGGTGCTCTACCTTTGTGTGTGTTTATTTTTTACTCCCTCGAAGCCATTTACAAGAAGGGGAGCCACTCTTGTAAAACAGGGGTGGGGGTCGTTATTTTTTCCTGGAAGGTGGCACGTCTCTCAGCACAGAGAAAAGGCATGTCGCCCAAGGCTTGCTGGCAGTGAGCGGAGCCAGCGCCGCTTTGCCTGTTGTCACAGCCAAAGCAAAATGCCACCTCTGCCTGGAAGCCAGGGCGCCGCATTCCTCTTTGTGTCCCTGAGACGCGCCATCGCCAAAGGCCCTGGGCTTGCAGGTCTGGCCAGGAGGTCATCCGGGCCCCTTGAAGGTCCTCTTTCATCCCCAGGAACTGGGGTTGGAGGGTTTATAGACTACAGAGGGATTGCTCATAACTCTCCAAATAGGTTATCCAAGTCCCCAGGTTGCATGTCAGAAACAGCCAGTACATGTGGAATTTGAGGTTTGGGGTGAACACAAGAGCATCCCCAGTTGCCCAGAGTAAGGTCACGCCAGTGACCCAGTGACACCCCTGTCCCCGGGCCTCTTCCCAACAAACCCAAATCCAGTGACAGCACAGGCTCCAGATCCCAAGGCAGGAGGTGCCAAAAACACCCCAATAACCACTACCCCCCTGAAAAGAAAAGTTTCCGTAACATGTTCTCACTCCTAGAGGGGAAAACCTGTCCATGCCTGAAGCAGCCTGACCCGGCAAGCACCCCTCCACGGAGGGGAGCGCAGATCTCAAGACAGAAACCCCCACCCCCGCCGCCTGCTCCCTGGGGAGGGACAGAAGGTGCCTCCCCCAAAAGCGTTGCCTCCTGATCTTTAAAAGAGCAGAAGTTGGCGGCGAGGCTGTGGCGCTGCCTTGACTGGGGCGTGTGGTCTCTGATGGCGGCTGGGCTCCAAGGAGAGCGCAGTTGGCTCTGCTGAGGAAGGAGCCCAGACATAAAAGATCTGAGAGAGGCCGCTGAGCGCCATGGCTGAGACGCCGCCGCTTCTTGCAAGGTGAAACCTGGCAGCTCTCCCTCACAAGTAAAAACCCAAATTAATTTTCTTTAAGAAAATTAAGTCAGAAACAAGGCTTGGGAAAAACTGTGAGTGTTCGGCATAAACTGATTTTGGATGATCTTTAGGTGAGAAAGGGTGGAGTTACCATCAGAAACATGTTTTTATTTATGCTTTTCAAATCCCCACTGGTGTGCAGTGTGTTGCATGTGTGTGTGTGTGCATATGTGTGTATGTGTGTTGGTTAGCATGAGCGTGTGCATCGTCTCAATTCTCTAACCACTCTTCTTCTTTTTTTACATCTTTTCTGTGCCCAGTTCATATAGATGCCCAATACATAACTCCATAGGTCCATCCACACCTTTTCATTTTATTTGTAAATTGTTTGGTATAAGCGGCAATGCGTAATGAAACCTGGTGAAGTTTAAAAGATTAGATTTTTTTTCATACTGACACTTCATAACACTGTTCATATGTCTCCGAGTGAGATTTATGAATATATGAGCAGTGCTGCAGAATTAAACCGCACCAGAGACTTCCTGCTCCACAGGGGTGGCAGTCTAAAGTGACACAGCTTCAAGCATTTTTCACAGACAAGAAGCAAAATTTAACCCCCTTCAGGGGAAGTATGATTTCAACAGCTTGAAATGAGCTCATTTCTAGATGGTTTTTTTTCTCTCATCTTCCATAATTTTTTGGTGTTAAGATTAAAACAGATTGCACAGCCCATGTAAGGGCACGGAAGAGGCCCAGGGTATAATTTGGCCATTAAAGAGAAACCCTCTTTCATTGTCTTGATCCAAACACCTCAGTAAGGAAAATGAAAGTAAACTTGGTCCTAGATTTTTTTAAGGCTCTTAACCATGATTCTTGGAGTTGTCCTTAGCAGATGAAGGCTGGATATTTCAAAAGGTAAGTAGTAAGTGGCATCAGTTAGCTCAGTGGAGAAGCCCTATCTCCTGGGCACCAAGACAATAGCATTAGGAAATAAACAGAGACTTGAGTCTCCAGTGAGTAAAACTGACCAACAAAACGGAGAATCAGAAGAGAAAGTGTGATCTATATGAATTGATCATACAGTACATGAGGTGTCTATAGTGGAGGGATCCTGTTTTACATTCAGAGTCCAGACCCATCTCTTTTAGTCTGGTCTGGTCTCTTGAGATTGTGTGTCAATGATTGTTCATGATCTCCGTGCTCTCGAATCCTCTTTAACCATTTGTTTCCCCTTGGGACGGAGTGGGGTGCCTGCCCCGCTCTGCTCTATAAACGCCCATGACGTGTCGCTGGAGAACTTTTGTCTCTCTTTTCAGCAATGGTACAACAGCTCCATGAGCGTGATCTGCACCTGGTTGACGGACCGGATGGACTTACAGCTTCACATTTATCAGTTGAAAACACTAATTAGGATGGTAAAGGTAAAAGAAAAGCATTCTTCTTCTTTGCAAATAGCTTACTGAAATGCGTTTCATTGGCAAACTGCAGAACTTCCTTAACACAAAGGCCTGTGGGTTTACATTAAAACAAGATGATTTCCACAACAGTATCTCATGCAAGAAAAACCTCTCAAGTTATTGTGGGATGCATGGTTCATTTATTGCTCGGACAGCACAGGAAAATTTAAGAGAAAAGAATTTGACATGTTTTCAAGGCTGCAAAAGTACTTTATGTATTTGCCATGTAAAAATACTACAGGGGCCTTCACACCCTTTGCATTATACTTTCAAAAGCTGACTTTTGGTACCACCATGCTCATCACGTCAGTTACCAATTTTATTTATGGTTGAATTAAATACGTTTTTGCCACAATTGATTTAATAGAAATATTTACCTCCAGCTATTTCTAAAATATGTCCTGAGATCATTATCAGGATGCAAATCAATATTGTTCTGTCGTTAATTGAAGTAGTTTCTCTGACAATGCCTGTGTGCGACCCAATGGAAAGGCTCCCAAAGGTGAGATCACATACCCTGAAAGTAGCTTTTCTCCTGTTCTTGCGTGTGTGCCTTGGACTAATGATAATTATTTCAGCGTGAAATCTCAGTGGTTTACATGAAATAATAAGATCACAGAAGGGGGTAAATACGTTTTTGATCATTTCAGTTTCCATTCGATGCTTCTCTGTAGCAGGTTTAAAGACAGTTGTATACAAAAGTCTCGTTCAAAGTCTCTTTCAAAATATGTTAGCAATAAAACGTAGCTGAATTTATATTTCTTAACAGTTTGCCAAAGGTCCCTCCATCCCTCCCCCCCTGCTACCCCACCCCCGCCCCGACCCCTACCTCCTTTTCTTAGTCTCCTTCGGATTAACACCATTTCACTGAGGTGCTCCTCTCCCCAGTGCGGACAAAAACCAGCTACTGTTCTGTTGAGTGTAATTATTATCATCTGTGCGTGATCTGGCAGCGTCCACCCAGGGGAGGTTACAGCAGAGCACGGCCGCTCTTAAAGAATATGTCCACTCGAACTGTGCCCCAACAGAATTTTCACATTTTTTATTTCAGTTCCTTAAAGCAAATTCACTTAGCCATATTGTTTGACTACCTGCATTCATTTTCTGGGTATACATTCTCTTTGGGGGAATTTCTGTTTGACCCTACTGAATAGACATGAAAAGGAGACATTACTTTTAATATTTTAAAATATCTTCCCACTACTAATATCTCCAGGTTTATATTGGGAATGTTGGAGTTAGCACTATTTTATTGAAAAAAAATATGTCAGAGAGGAGGTTTATTCTTAGCCTTCTGGGGGGAAAAAAAGACATGAACCATAGAGAAGGGACACAGAAACATCACTGTCAAAGGACCCCTTCACTTTTGTCAAAAGTGGGCTGGACCGCCCTTAACTAGAGCCTCAGTATGGGGGGGGTGGGGGGAGGCGGAATTCGCCTCCTCTTTACAAAGTACGTAACCCAGAGTCTCCTTCTCCGAGCTTTCCCGCCTCTGTAGGTATCCACCCAGCCATTCATTATTCAGCAGCATTTCCTTATCCATCCAACATGGGACAAACATTAGTTGAACTTATATAGTACAAGATGGAGGACTGAAAAGTAATGAGATACAGTCCCTGCCCAGCTGGAGAACACACTGCTCTGGAATATGCATAAAAGGGAGAACACTCAAGTGCTTCCCACCTTTTAAAACAATTAAGTTATGCTAAGTGACCAAAGGATAAATGAAAAGTACAAACAAATCAGCTTAACTGCCTGGTGCCTGGGGCCTGGGGCCTACATTGACCCAGCCTCCTGGCTTTGCCCCTCAAGGTGAAGACAGTTCAGGTAGCTACCTAGAGAGCTAGCATGTCCACCCACACGTAGGATGACCTTCTAACTTAGTGCCAGAACCAGGTCACTTTTCAGGGGGAAAGCAGGTTGCTATGAAAAATCAGGCCGGGACAGCAGGTATAAGCTGGCCAAGTAGATATGGAGTCATCCTGTCAATCATCTTATATGACTGGCCTTTGCGAGCTGGAAGCATTCGCTAGCTAACTGTGCAGTCATTACAACGCATGACCTTCCGGAGGGTTGACCCTGGGACGCTATGCCTGCTTTAGAGGGCGTTGCAGTGTGTCCCCGGTCCTTCTCTCGCTCCCGTAGCAAGTTCCCTACGTCAGTAGGGAAGCAAACAGCAGACTCGCAGCTAAATGAGATGCAGTGTGACGGGAAGAGCTGTAGCTGGAGAGAGACTCTCTCAGAGCAATTCCCTACGAAGGAGACAACAGCCAGATGCTTCTGGTCATGTTCAATTAACGCTAAGGGATTTCTAGAAAAACAGTCCGTGGGCTACCTAAGGAAATCCGAGAGAAATTGCCTGGAGGAACAAAGAAAGAGTCTGTGGTACAGTAATCCCAGACCAGTCATCTTGAAAGGGGTCCAGATTTCTTCCCTGAGACCCTGAAGTTGTGAGCGGAAGAGACGTGCTTCTTTCCCAAGGAGATGAGGCACGAGTCACATGCCTGCAACATGCGGGCGAGGCTCTAGCACTCCGTCTCCCGCAATCCTTGCTGCGCCTAATAGGCTTCCCACACCACATGCATATGTCTGTCTTGTGAGCGAGACAGAGGGCCATGCAGTTACGAGCCTCAGAAATACTACAGACCAGACTGCAACACGAATCGCAAAATACCATAATCACTCGATCCATAATTTATATGCTAATAGCCCCTTACACTGTCTCTCATATCCTATTATAATACCGTAAGAGAAAGAACCAGACCCCCCCCCCCCCCGAAAAAAAAGGAACCAAAACAATTCTGGAACATTTCCCTCTACGGAACTGAATAAACACAAGCTTATGTTCTTTGCTTTGTCTCATCTAATACAGTGTATCCTGTCACAGTGTCTCATTTTCTGTCACTCAAGTCTGTTTCAGTGCCAGTGCAATCTGAGCGTGGTAGCTTTTCATTTGACCACGCGTGAAGTGTGACTACGGCTGAGGGCCAGTGTTCTCACACCCCACCTGCTCTGTCCTGTCCCTCCCCTCCCTGATCCCTGCATCTCTTCCTCCCTAGAAAACCTACAGGGACTTCCGATTGCAAGGGGTCCTGGACTCGACCTTGAACAGCAAGACGTATGAAACCATCCGGAACCGTCTCACTGTGGAGGAAGCCACGGCATCAGTGAGTGAGGGCGGCGGCCTGCAGGGCATCAGCATGAAGGACAGCGATGAGGAGGACGAAGAGGACGATTAGAAGGCCCGGGCCTGGACCCTATAACCAATGCATGTCCTTAGTCTGTTAGTTACCCCCTTAGGGAATTTTCTGTCCCCCACCACGCCCATGAGATGTTTACCAATACAATTGCCATTTTAGCTCTGTGGTATCAAGATTAGCAAATGACCTTCAAGCCCCCCATCTCCTGACCCACGACTATATGTTTACAGCGATCTGGAGCAGCATTCTTTAAGTCCTGTTCATGGAGAACACGTAGTCCCACTGCTAGGCGTGTCCCTTTGCCAGCAAAGTCAAATGATGCTTCATTAACGTACCATGTATGCGTTGACAGTGAATGGATGTGAGGGCAGTTCACCCGTACTTTCACTTCTTTGTTTCACGTATGTGGATGTCAGTTATTGAAATGAGTATAATAAATATTTAACTAAGACACATAGTTCCGCTTTGTTTTTTTGAGAAACAAGAGGCAATGCCCCAACAACCAATGTTTGGTTCTCTCTGTTCCCTTCAAGCTAAACAATGAACCCCTGGCGACCTTGTTACCACCGTTTCATTTCTCCTTATAGCTAGCCAAAACAGGATGGCTACGTACCTGTAGGTTGATCCTCCTCATTGCCATGGCAAAGGTTATTCTACCGAGACTCCACATCAAGCACAGTTCAGAGCAACTGTCTTCTGTCCAACTTTATCCTATTACATGTTACATTATGCTTTTCTGTTTCAATAACCGTGTATGTAAAAAACTGAGTATCTAAATTACAACCCTAGACTATACCTGTGTTTATAATAAGATCTGGGTATTTCCCTCAGTAGACTGTAACCATGATTTCAATGGTTTGGTTCACCTGTTTTTTATATCTGTCATGTACATTGCATTTTGACCTGTAACTGCACGACCCTGGGGTCCGCTGCAGAGCTTTCTTTCCGTGTAAACTAGTGGATCCATCCTGCTTTTGCCTTATATAAAGCCTACAGTTATGAACGTGTGAACAACTGTGGCTTCTCAATAAAGAACTATTCAAACGTCCGAAGAGTACACTTGTGAGTCTTTTTTCTTCTGTCTCCTGGAGGCAGAACTGAAACACATGAAGCGGGAAGAGGTGGGGACGGGAGGGAGGAATGGTTTTCTTCACGCGCTCTCTCACCTGCTGGACTGTGTCGTTTTCTGAGCTCGTCTTCACGAGGGACAGCCGGAAACTTGGTGAATGCAGCCTCCACTGAGGCAGAGTCTGCGGGCATTTGGACATGTTGGGCAGATTACACTTGCATTATAGGATAAATAAGGGTTTGCTACGCAAGGGAGTCGTGTAAACGAGAGAAATGTTTCTCCTGTGCGCAGAGAAGGCCAACAAACTGTTTTTAAGCACCACTTTAACAGCAGTGTTTGCATTCAAACAAAGCGTGTGCCAATTATATATGATTCTTATATATTTGTTACAGCATTTTACAGGATTCTCTACGATGTGGAGCACGTCTCTCTTTCCCCAGCCTTGTCAGCAATGTAATCACCTGGGTCTGAAAGAAATCAAGGCGGCCTTGCCTGGTCCCTTTCATCTGTGATTGTCCCTAAATCAGGCTGGCCTTGCCTGGGGCTGACCCAGGTTTAGGCGAAATGACCACTTTTCCAATAGGACCGGGCACAGTGCTCACCACTTGCTCTCTACAAACCAACCCCTCTGAATAGCACCTCTCACTCTTGTTTAATCCTCGACGTCTGCAGGTGCAAATCACAGTTCTCCTTGCCCTTGGTGGGATTATAAGAAAAACTCTCACTTATTGAGCAGCTCTTCTATGTCAGGCAATCTGCATATATTACCTCATTTAAATATCACAACAAACTTGAGAGGAGAGGACTGTTATTATCCTGATTGTAAATGAGAACATTGGAATGAGAAAGGTTAAGGTAACTTGCCCAACCTTGGCCCAACTCCCTGTTGAAACGTGAATCCAGAGGACCTGGTGCTGTGAGTGGTGGGATGCATGATTCAGGTGGGAACAATCTTTGCCCAATGGCACCACGTTAAGTCTGTGTGACAAAATTTTTATCAAGTTATTTGTATTATGTTCTGAGTTGCAAATTAAGGCATATTTCCTGCAATAATGACAAACAATTAAAAAAATGTGCAAGTAAAGAGGAAGCATCTGCCTACGGTATGAAAGTGGAAAAGAAAAAAATGCTCAGGAACTCTGGGAGAGAGCAAACTGAGCGAGCCAGATAACTAACCAAAAGACACGATCCAGGAGGCATAAAGAGACACAAGCCATAAAGACTATCTCTAAAACCAAGGTTAAAACATTCCCCTCAACAGGAGACTTCCTCACAGCCTCCCAGTGAGGGGCGTGGTGAGCAGTGGTCCCGGAAGGGTGCTGTGGGGAGGACTTGGCATCAGAAGAGATCAGAGAGGAAGGACTGGCCAAGGTTAAGTCATGGTTATCCTAGACACTCAGAGCTGAGAAGGAGGCAGTGTTGGTATCTTGATCTTTCTTTTTTTTATTCCTTTGGGACAAAATCTTAAGTTTTCTGTTCTTTGCTTTTCATTATTTTTATTAAAATATAATAGACATACAGAGGAGTGCACAGATCTTAAGTGTACAGCTCAGTGATTTACCACAAACAGAACACACTCATGGAACACCACCAGGTCATAAACAGAAGGTAATGGACACGCCCAGGCATACCAATGCCCAGGCCCTTTCCCCATCTCTACCCCCTCCTTACTCTCCAGGGGTAACCACCATCCTGATTTCCAGTTGCATTCGTTGAATTGAACCCTTACATCATTAGAATCACAGCATATATTCTCTAGCGTCTGCTTTCTTTTTGCTCTACATTAGATTGTTGGTGTAGCTGTGGTTCATTCCTCTTCACTACTCTATATTCCAAAGTATGACATTACCACAAGTTTATTTATTCATGTGAAAGTGTGTTGTTGTTTTTTAGTTTGGGGCTATTAGGAATAATGCTGCCACGAATTTCATTGCACATGTCTTTTGATGCAATTGCCTGGTGATGGGTAAAGGCATGTTCATTTTTAGGAGACACTGCCAGTTTTCCATGGAGGTGAACAGAGTTATACTCTTACCAGCAGGGAAGCAACGTCCTGGCAACACTAGGTATTGCCACTCTTTTTCATTTTTATCATCTTGGTAAGTGGTGTAGTGGTGTATAATTGCAGTTCACTTGATTATAAAAATGGAGTCCATACATATGCTTTATAACATATGTATGAGCAGTGGGTTATCTCTCTTGGGAAACTCATGTTTCTTCCCCCCCCCCTTTTTTTTATTTTAGAGAGAGGAAGATAGAGAGTGAAAGAGAGATACAAACATTGATCGTTTGCCTCCCGTATGCCCCCTGACTGGGGATCGAACCCTCCACATAGGCATGTGCTTTGACTGGGAATCGAACCCTCGACCCTTCGGTGCACAGTGAGGCATAGAGGTGTTGATGGAAATGTTAACCTGATGGAAAACATTCACTGTACAGTGGGGCCTTGACTTACGAGTGTCTCGACTAACGAGTTTTTCGAGATACGAGCCGTCTCTCAGCCGATTTTTTGCTTTGAGTTGCGAGCTAAAATTCGGGTTACCAGCCAGCTTCAGATAACCCACCGCTAGTTGGCGCAGTGAACGTTACACAGTGAATGCCACAACACCAGCCCAGCATCACGTGTCTCACTCGTTCACTGTTGATTTGACATATGAGTAATTTGAATTACGAGCTCTGTCACAGAATGAATTAAACTCGTAAGTCAAGGCCCACTGTATAACAATCAGGGCACATACTGATCAGCACTGCCAGAGACAGCCAGGCTTTCAACCTTCCTAATGCCACGACCCTTTAATACCGTTCCTCATGTTGTGGTGACCCCCAATTTCATTGTTACAAATTGAACATAATTAAAGCATAGTGATTAATCACAAAAACAATATGTAACTATATACGTGTTTTCCGATGGTCTTAGGCGACCCCTGTGAAAGGGTCGGGACCCACAGGTTGAGAACCGCTGCGTCTAACCCCTTTCTCTCATCAGCCAACAGGACCTTTCTAAAAGGCAAGTGCCACTTGTCCCTCCTTCACTTGAAAGCATCCAGTGGTTCCCCTCACTCATAGAATGAATCCTAAGGACACTAAGGTGGTGTGCACGGCCATGCCCACCCCTCCAGCTTCCTCTGTTAACGCCGCTCCTCTCACTCTGGGTGTCAGCATCCGCCACCACCTTTCACTTCCTCCCGTGCACCATGGTTCTTCCCCCTCAGCACCTCATCTCATCCTTCAAATCCAGCTAAATTTGGCTTCCACAGAAAGCCTTTCTAAACCCCACCCTCAAGTCTGTGTCCATTTCCCTGGCAAATACCCTAACACTCTACTTCTCTCTCTGCGTTTCCATCACACTCTTCATGCCTGGGTATTTGCAGAATTGTGTGTTGCATGCAGCATTTCTCTGACTCAGGAAGGCATGGCCTGTACCAGTTCCCATACTCTACCTTCATTGCATTTACCAAATCTACGACTAATAATTGAAATCTGCACATACAAAACTGTAGATGATCTGATTACTATTCTCTTAGAACCTTTAGTCTAGGCCAGTGGTCGGCAAACTCATTAGTCAACAGAGCCAAATATCAACAGTACTTCTTTAAAATAGACTCACCCAGGCCGAAAACCGACTTCTGCGCATGGGCCACCAAGTTTCAATCGCACTGTACACGCGCGCCCGCACATGGTATTTTGTGGAAGAGCCACACTCAAGGGGCCAAAGAGCCGCATGTGGCTCACGAGCCACGGTTTGCCGACCACTGGTCTAGGTAATATGAATCTTCAAAGGATTCAAGTAGATTAACTACTAGAAGATTCAGGGAGAAGGAAGGATGGCTTCTAGCAGAGGCGGAACTTGAAGCGCACAGAGAGAGGACAGGAAAGGGTGTAAACGAAAGCAGAGAGAGCTGAGGGGATGTGCCCTTTGGCTGAAGCTGTTTTCTTCTTTGATGCATTCCCAGTGCAGCTAGTAAACGCTCAACAAGTACATGTTCACTTAAGATGGCGATGACTATGCTCAGTGTGCTAGAGAAGGTTTGTGCAGGGCGTTGGGAAAGACTAGGGTGCGAAAGGTGGGTTCAGGTTTCAAAGGAGGACATTTAGTTTCACCGAGTTTGGGTTTGTCTGTCTGAATAACAGAGAGCTAACCAGTATTTTTATTTTTTCAAAATATTTAGAGACATTTTTTAAGTTTAAAAAATCAAATAGAGAAGAATTATATGAAACAAAAAGTTGAAGCCTCTTCCTTCCCCAACCCATTTCCCCAAAGTAGCCATTGCTAACAGATGGGCACATATTCTTCCACATATGTTCAAATCACATACAAGTATATTGGAGATAGATAGATATATATATATATACCCACCATCCAATATCCAGTTGGATATACTTATATATTTTATGTACTTATATTTTTAAATGTATTTTCACAAATGGGATTCATCCTCAGCCCACTAAGGCAAATCAAATTTTTCATTTATCAAGGTAAAATCATTTTCATGTCTGCACATATAGATTTTCCATATTACTTTTCATGGTTGTGCCATATTTAAGGAGATTTTTTGGCCAAAGAAGAGACAAGAACAAAGTAAAGCAAATTGAAAATGCAGGAAGAAATTTAGGATGGATTGAAACACAATGGAGGAAATGACCATCTGTGGAAGTGACCCCAGAGACTGTTTGAAATGTGTGACTGAAGAATTTCTGAAACCCCCCAAATTCAATCTCCACCTAACTGCACTGTATTATAATTATGTGTTTATGTACTTGTCTCCCCACTAGACTGCCTGTTTCTGAGGTCAGGGACTATGTATCCATTTGTGTTTGCCCATCTGATGCCTTGGATATAGCAGGCATTCAATAATGTTGGTTGAATTGAATGGGTGAACATTGGAGGCACACTTGAGTATGACCAAGAACAAGAAAGCATAAACTAAATGTATTGCAATATACTTCATCGATAAAGAAACAATCACTAAATGAGGTGA